TTTACTGTGACACTTTGGACCTGACCCATCAGCCAGTTGCTCACCCAGCATATTCTGGTTTTGCCTTGTCGCATGCTGGACATTCTGTGCAGGAGGATGAGGAGCCCACCCTGGGCTCTGCTGCACACCTCTCCTCCCAGCCAGCACCGCACCATGTGGCAGAGAAGCACGCAGAGCGTGGGCAGAGCAATGCAGGAGCCAGGGCTGCAAGGCAGGAGGTGCTGGTGCTGTCAGGCTGCCAGGAGGCACTGAGAGAAGGGTCCTCACTCAGCTATAAGAAGCCTAAAACCTCTATCCACAACTGCACAAGTACTTAGCCCAGGAACGCCTGCAGGGACTGCTGCTGCTCGTGGCCCAGAGCCAGGACAACGTGCCCAGGAGGCTCCGGCCAGACCACTGCCCCAGGACGGACCACCACCTCCCCACAGCACGCCCACCCCATTGCTTCTGGAGCCCACTGGGCAAACTGGGGAACACTGCGCTGCCCCACAGCCTGCTGTTTGCTACAGCCTCACTGAAGTGAGAAAAAGAGCTGACCAGCATGAGAGCCCAGCAGGGAGCTGCAGTCCCCCGACAGAGCCCTGCATCCAAGTGGGCCAGGAGAGATCAGTGCCCATGGTGGGAGCTGCGCCACGAACTGGCAGAACAGATGAGCAGCTGTCTATGATGTACAGAGAGAAATCAGTCATCTCAGGCTTGTAGCAGATGCTGGAGGGTTTGTGGTGCTAAAAAGAAAAGAATAAAAAAACACTCTCAAACCACCTACACGGACTTGGCAGCTTTCTAGGACAAGGAAATCCTGCAGGATTCCTGGGAGGAAACAAGTCACAGCTCCCAAATGCATATGAGATACGAAAACAGAACATGGTCCAACACGATGCCTCTAAAAGGTCAATTTCCCCAAACCACAACCAACCAGGCACAAAAATAACTGAACCAAAACACCTAAATAAAAACAAATGTGGCAGTGTTCAATGGGAGATGTTCAAAGAGACTTCAGCAGAGCTCTCCTTCTTCCAAAAGGAGCAATGCCACATTCAAAAAAATTTACTTTGCTTAAAAGATGGATCAGGACGGGAGCCAAATGAAGAAATAAATAAGTAATAAATAGAAAATCCACTACACAATTAATAGCTGGAAATAACACATTTAGTAAAGGAAGCTAAACAGTATGACAAGAAATAATGGCTACAGGTATGTCAGGAAAAAAAGCAGCCATCTGTCAACACAACAGGCTGACGGTAAAACTGTACAGCCAGTGTAAAGCAGAAGCATTTCTCTTTACATTTGCAGACATGAACGACTTATCTACGTTTCAGTCAGAACCAAGTTCTCTCAACTCCAGAAGTGGGAAAAGTATTCAATGCTACCGCACATCTTTCAGGTCAGCAGAACTAGAAGTGGGGCCACGCAAGGGAGCTCCCCAAATCCCTATGAACGACCTTTGTAAAAGAAAGCAGAGAAACGTCGCAGGGCAGTGTGGAAGTTCCAGAGGTCCTGGAACAATAAATAGAAGCCCACTCAAACACAAACGCTCACGCCGTGCCAACGTTCTCAGGCGGATAAGGGCTGACCCAGGAAGCGCGGGCTGATAACCCCGGCTGCGGCCCGCACAGTAGGCAAAGGGCAGAGCAAGCAGCACAGGACAGGAGATGGAAACGCAATGGGTGCTGGTCAGCACAGCTCTGCGGGAGGAGGGCCTGTCAGACCCATCTGAGGGCTCCTCTGAGACGACGCATTTGGCTGACAAAGGTAACGGTGCTGACATAATGCGCGCAGACTTGTGCGTGGCACTTGACTTGGGCTGGTGTGACAGCCTGCCACAGAACCCCCCGCACAACACAAGCACTGCGTGTGTGCCGCGAGGGGACGGGATGCAGGCAGAGCCCCGGGGCCTTGGTGGAGTTACACCCACACTGAGTGCCCCATGAAGGCTCATCTCCACGAACAGACAACGTCTCTACCAAGGAACAGGAGCCACGAGGCAGCAGAGCAGCTTTCTGCGGGGAAGCTCCAGGCTGCAGTAGGTTTTTAGAGAATGCACATTTTGGCTGCATGTCTCTGTTTGCACAAAGTTCAGGAGGGCTGCGGAAGTGCACATCCAGAGCCTCTGCCCAAACAACAGGCTAATTCTTTTAAAATGTTGGCTATTTCTTAGCAGAGTTTTCACATTAGTAAAGCTACAAGGACCTGCAAATGACAACCTGCACGCTCAGATATGCAGCAGCTCCCACTTGGCCATGTGTCTGCACATGCCATGTAATGCACTTGCTATTTCCCACATGGGTCTGAAGATACGCTCAGCCCTCTGAGCTCTCTCTCCCTCTAGCAATAACGTGGGGAGTATCACCACCCATCTGACACGTCCTCCTTCCCACAGGGAAAACAGAGGCAGTGGTTTCTCCCAGACAGTTTTAGAGGTCAGACTGCAAAGGCTTTCAGCTGCCAGAAAAGTTCACTCCTCCTCATCTGCCTCCATAAAGGCACATGGACACCTCTCCTGCCAGAGGTGCAGAGCTCTGCCTCATGCATGCCCTTTGCCTCAGCCTTCTCAGTGTCCTGCACCACGAACACGCAGACCAAAGCCTGTGATCCTGTTTGAAGCTCCCTGGCTACATGAGCAGCTCCACACACACATGGGTGTCTGGGTGTTACTCCAGGGAAGTAAAGGCTGAACCAACCACTACTGGGGAAGCCCAGAGCTCTCCATGAGTCTGGGTCCCCTCTGCCCACAGCCATCACCTTCTGCACTCATCCAGTGGTGGGCAACACTGTGGCCAGGCAGACACTGCTGGCAATCAGGCACAAGCCCGCTGCACTGTGCCACGTCCTGCAGAGAAGACCAGGACCAAAGCCCCATCCCCACGACAGCGATCCCATACTGCGCAGTGCCAGCTTCACAGCTCAGTCTGGTCCAGCTCGGCCTGGGTACAGCCCTGGCTCCAAGTGGACAACACTGCAGCTGTTCTCTTTCTGGATCCCCTATAAGCCTGTTCCAGCAACAGGGCTGAGTGCAACCAGGATTTGGCAAGAGCTGCCACATTCACACTGGCATCCTTTTCATCTATTGCTTTGCTTAGTGTAGGTTCAACAGGAGCATGAAAAGCCTTTGCTCAAAGGAATTCCAACCAGACGCCACACCATGCCCAGCCCTGCTCCCTGCGCTGCCCAGGGGCCAAGGGGCAGCAGGAACTGCTCCTGGTGCTGCTGCTGCTGCTGTGTGATGCTGTGCAAGCATCCTTCACACACACAATCCTAGCCAAACAAGATGACAATCAGGTGGTGCTTGGATGCGTTACCTTAATGAACTTCAGACCACCACTACCTGCCCAACCAGCACCCTCCCCTGCTGCTGAGCTCCTCAAGTGTCATCCCCAACACACCCACACCACCAAAGCAGGACAGGGCTCCTGACACCAGCTGCTGCTCTGAAGTGAGCACCTCAGGCTCTGTGCACAGCATCCACCCAGGACGACTAATGAGGGCTTCACCTGTGCTGCCCTCAACCGTGGCTCCCAGGGGTTTCTCAGAGAGCAGACCTCAGGCTGCTACGCAGGAGGAAATTTTGAGAATATCTCCAATATCATGCAAAGTCAGTCTCCGCTTTTGCAGTAACTTTAACTTAGCTCACAGGGGAGACAGTGTCACAACATGCAATGTGTGTGAGCAAACAGAATGGCTACGAAAGCAGCTGATAGTTCTCAATCCACTCGTTCCACTTCCCAAGCTGACAACGAACCACCAGCTGTCTGGGGACTCCATTTATCCTTCCCACCACCCACAAGCTCACACCGCTCACATTTTGAAACAAAGCTGAAGACAATGGCAAATGTAATGTGTGTTTACGTACCGTGGATACCACGGGGCTCCTTCCTTGTGCCAGAGAAAACACAGCGACCCAGTGGCAGGGCTGCTGCCCCCCCCCCTGCCCCAGCCAGCAGCCACACTGCGCTGCCAGGAATCATCAGATGTTGTCCCATCTGCTACTGGTACAGCCCCTACTTGTACGGAGCTCTATTGAGCAACTCCACATCTACAGAAGATACAGAGATCAGCATCTCCAGAATGCTTTTAACTTTCTCTTGTTATAAATACTGGAGACATTTCATCCAAACCATTTAACAAGCCATAAAAGTAAAGGTCACTCGATGTGTCTAGCTGTAAAAGCAGTCAGTGTACCCTTAGCAGCACCGTGCAGCTCCCCTAAGAGCCATTTATGTACCTATATCCTCAAACGACACAACTTCGAAGGCAAAAAGGAGGACGCCCTCCAAACATACAGTTCTCTTTAAAAGGGTTAACAGCAGCATCACCGTTATCACTTCCCTAGATTAACTCATTACGCGAGCCAACGCGCAAAGCTTCAGAGCAGACTCTCAAAGCACCGCGCACAAGCTCCGCTCTGCTGCCACTCGGTCACCCGAAGCTCAGCAGCTTCACGAAGCACCCGCTGGGCGCACGGCGGGGACGTCGCAGCCGGCGTCTGGCGGAGCAGCAGCTGGGCGTGCAGCGGGAGCTGCCCCTCCGCACCGCTGCCTGAGAGGACCCGCTACCGCCGCCTGTTTCCCCTGCTCCTTCCCGGCTCTCTTCTCCTTGAAACCGATGAGGGCTTTACCTGGATCGCGACCGGAGGACAGGCTCCTTTATTTGCAGCTGTCTCTGGGAGACAAAACTTCGAAGAAGTTGGAGAATCAAAAGAAAAAAAAGAAGAAAAAAAAAGAAAAAAAAGAAAAAAAGAAAAAAAAGCGACGTGGGGGGGAAAAAAAAAGACAAAAAAAAAAAAAAAGACAGTGAGTCCGAGCAGCCCGGGCAGCACCTCGGGGCCGGCGGGGAGCGGCGGGCGGCCCCACCGCCCAGCGCCCGTGCGCGCCGCCCGTCCCGCACCGCCCCGCGCCCGGAGGGGCAGCGCCGCCGTGCGGGGCCGGAGCCCATCCCGCGGGGCGGCGGAGCCCCGGGCACGGTGCCGCTCCGCCCGCCGCCCCCCGCCCGCCCGCGCTCACCGGCGTTGCGGAGCTTCTTGTTCCTCAGCACCGAGAGGATGACCAGCGCGTTGCCCAGCACGTCCACCACGATGGTGACGATCAGCACGGCCGCCAAGCCGCTGGCCGCTCGCGCCGCC